TCATCCGAAACCATAAATTTACCTCAATATGGCTCATTCTGTTTGACAATGTGGTCTCAATCCTTTTTTTTTTTTTTTTTTTGGTGGGCATCGATCCCTCTTAAATTAATGGTTTTCGTCGTTAACCCCTTTACATTTTTCTCTATATTATGCATACATAAATTTGCCTCAATATGTTTTGCTCACACTGGGATAATTTTCAGAAAATACAAGTGAAAATAAAACCGACTAAAACAAGTATCTACAACTGAAAAAGCATTGTTAAAAAGTTATAGGTAGTCAAAAAAGGTTTCATAACTCAATGAACATATAAAAAGTTAGTATTTGTCACTAGTGTGAACTTCCTTTAAAGTCTCTCTGATATTTTTAATAGTATTGAATGATTGATTCACTGCAGTCGCTTTTATAATTTTGCAACTCAGTAAAGCTTTTAGGGTTGATTGAGCCATTTTACTTCTTTCAGATTATGTTTATTACCAAAACCATTCCTTTCGAGCCGATGTGCTTGAAAGGCTAAAAATGTATTCTACTTTATGAACACGATTGGACAGTGGTTTTGTTTCATTGAAATAACCGTGCAGTTGTATCCATTTTCCTTCGCAACTTTTATTTTTCTAGATTTCATAATAATCTAACCAAAAAGGTTTGCGATCACTACTTCATCAAAATGTGCGATCCACGCTTATGGAATTATTTTCGACATTTTTATATTTTGTTTACTTTAAAGTTCACCTTTCCAGACCATATTAATTCCCTTTTGTTTAATCAAATAAAAGATAAGTTTTTCCATATCTCAACATTCGAAAGACATCTGTCATAAAATGCTGTAAATTGTTGCAGGATTGTATCGATATTAATTGTGTATTCGCAACTTTAAATATTCTACCGTATAACTGAGAGAAAACAACCAACTGACGGACGCAGACAACACATCATCAAATACGGACATTCCCAGTCAAAGCACGTCTGGTAAGTTTATGCATGAGGCATAATCGTAATACAAATAAACAGTTTAAAGATAAAAATTGGCTTGCAATATGAACAAAAGTTTCAAAAAATATGGTTTATTAGAATTACGTTTGACTTTTTTAAGGGGGCGATAATCATTAAGTTTACAATTGGAAACAAATTTTTAAAAACAAAATCACGATTCTAATTGCAAAAAAGTTCGATTTTTAAGAAATGTGAAGGCTACACTTGATCTACTGATGCAATTTTTTTAATATTTGGCACAATATTGCTTAATTCTCAAATATCCTGGTTCAGAATTATCCATCCTGCTTTTTGTTTTTTAGTTACTGGCTTGACTAAGTCTGCTTCGGTAAGAAGAGAGAGTCAATAATGGTGGTCCGTTAACATCTTTTATTTTGGAATATTTCTCTCCGGTGATTTCAATAAGACTTGACTTTACATATCATAGCTTTATATAAATGAACAATTAATTATAAATTATATTAATAATTATTACTGTATTCGGTGGGATTTTGACGATGCCGATTATCTAGCAGTTTTATTTGGCATAGACTCCCAATTCAACCTCTTGTGGACCACTGGCCTCCTTTAAAACTTCATTGACCCCCTAGCCCTAAGGGAACGTCAGGTGTAAAATATCATGAAGTCAACCTCTTCACATTAACTAAATTGCATTTACTATTCAAAAACTCTATACGGTACTTTGAGATTTCCAAATTTTCCACATTTTATAGACACGAAATAAACACTCTGCCCTTGCCGGGACTTTAAAATTGGTTAAGATGTTCTAAATACTCAACAATGGCATGTTCTGAAAGCAAGCTGGAGGTTTCTTTGCGTCAGTTTCACTGCACAGCTTTTACTTCCGCGGCTCGTACTATCAGTTGCGGATTCATTTCTTATCGAACAAATTCCGTTATAAAAATCAGGTTTATCAAATTTCTGTTCAAATTTTCAAATATATATTTGATATTTCAAAGCTATACACTTTATAATATAAATGCGTATCAATTATGTGATATTATAAAGTATTTTCTCCCTCTTTTCTGCTTGCTTTCGTAGTGTAACGGTAGCACACTTGGCGCTTATCGAGATGTCCAGGTTCGAGTCCCAGCGAGGGCACTGCACATTTTTCACGTCTTCCTGCTTCAAAAATTCTAATGACTGTACAGTGGCGCCCGAACGAAAAAGGTGGTGGATGAAGATTCTTCAACACCAAGATTTGGCGGTTGACCCTAATTCCCAGTCACCCTTTAAAAGGGTAAGTATATAAGGCATTTTCTCCCGTGATGTAACGGTAATGCACTCGGCGCGTATTCGAGTGTCATATCTGAAAGTTGTTATAAGAAATGAAAAAGTTTATAATTATTTATATACAAATACATGATGTACCCAGCCGCGCAAACGATATAGTAGTTCGAGGAACATGACTGCGATACCGAGGGCCCGGGTTCGAATCCCGGAGAAGGCATGGATGTAAAATTTGTCTGTACCATCGTAGGAGGTAACGGCGACCGCCTGTTAGGTGCCTCCACAATAAAATAACCACCGCTTCTGGCCTTATGAGTGGCCTAGCGGCGTTATACTGCAGACTTACAGGCAAGTGCCCGCCACTGGGGGGGGGATATAAATGTACCCTTTCTGTATGCATCGAGAAATATATTAATAAATAAGATAAAGAGACTAGTTTGCCATCATTTAATTCTCAAGTTTTGTCTCACTTGGAAAGATTTTGTAATTTGTCTATTTTAAGTAGGTTAGGAGATAATTAATATAATATATTAGAATTACTTGAAATAATATCAGTCTGAAAATTTAAGGTATTTTTCTGTTATCAGGACCGGATTCAGAAATGTGTAAATGTATGCATGTATGTATGCATGGATGGATGGATGGATGCCTGAATGTAATAATTTCACTGGTGCGTCGATTGAAATCAATCACTTTTTAGTCATAGCCGAGAAAAATGCTGCGTGCTATGACTGGACGGAAAATCACAATTGGTATGATGATTAATATGATGATTAAAATGTCATTTTTATTTTGAACAGGAACAATTCTCCAGAAATACATTTTTTCTTATTTAGTACAGCACTAGGGGTCCTAAATGTGCCTCACGATTACTATATATGCAGCTTCCTTTTAAAAGAATAGAAAAAGAAGCTAGCGAAGAGACGTAACTTTCCTAAGCTGCAAGCAGGCAAAAAAGTGATGCGTAATAGTAATTGCAGTAGTATTTACACGCTTGGAAAATTTTTGTTTTAACCCTGAGAAGCGACTGGTTTAAAGTCTATAACAAAGCAGATACTGCAGGGGAAAATGAAATGCCTTGAAGGTTTGCATTTGTTATTTTCAAAATCGTAATGGAAAGGATCATGAGCCAATCAAAATTTGTTATATTTACCACGTGGAAAGTAAGTTTCTCAAGTTGTGACTTCAGAGCTTCCAAGTATGTCATTCTTAAATCTTTTCCAATAACAAAACTAAAAATAATACAAATAGTTAGGTAAATGTAATTTTCTAAAAAAAAAATTAAGGTTGAAAATGGTGAAAACTTCTGTTTTGCACAACCAACCCGCAAAACAAGTTTCTTCTTAAGTTGCCTTAATTTCTCATGGGTACTGAAAGCAATCAGAGAACTAATTACCTCGTAGACAAGAGATTTAGTTCATTTACTTTTGAAGAATACGTTGAGTTTTGAGAAAGATGTGAAAATGTACTTCCTGAAAATCTAGAAGAACCACAAATGCTGGCTTCGAGGACCATAGTTTGAGAAACGCGATCTGTGATGTAAGAAATTCTAGCTTTATTTGAATTAAACTAGAATTTTGTAAGATTATTATTTGAAATTAACCAGTTATTAGCCCAAAAGGGACGTTAGTCCCGCATGGGATATAATCATGCCTTTTTGTTCTTCATTTCTGGAAAATGTGAAATATCTGGATTGTCTACTTGCTTCATTAAACTATTATAGAATGAAAAGTCTGTTAATCATGAACTTCTTTTATTAATTTTTAACCCAAAAGGGACGTTAGTCCAGAATTAAACACACATACAGCATTTTGCGTTTCGACACAGCATTTTACGTTGAATCACTATAAACGGTGTATCGAATCACTATAAAAGGTGTATCACTGTTCAAATTGTTACCGATAAATATCATCGCCCTGTATTAAAGAAATTAAATAACGAAGAATCTGCATGAACGTATACATGTTCTTGAATTATGAAAACACAACGTACCTAGAGCTATTAAATTCTGAATAACGTAGTCCTCCACCCAAATATGGACACCTAGAAGCCCGAATTTTGAATTTAAAATTATTTGTTTCATTGCCTATTTCATATTTTGTAAAACGTTAACGAATTTTTGAGCGATTTCAAAGCGAATAAGGGGCAATACTGAAGGAATGGGGGGGGGGACATTTTTTACCTTCAGCGCGCGAGAGTGTCTATCGGAAATTCTAAAGGTATGCTGTTTTTAAATATTTTGTGATTTGCCGTTGAATCGAATTTTATGTGGTGTACGCGCCAAGAACGTAATATTTAATAAATAAAGTAAACACACAAAACGTTAAATAATAAAAAAGCCAAAAAAAAGCTCTGTAAAATCATCTTACTAAGAAAACCGAACACTGCTCTGATGAACTGAGAAAAGATTGAAAATAAAAGGAAAATGTATGCCAACACTTAACGCTGCATCGGGAATCGGGAATTCTAATTGTATACTGATGTACTGCTTTTAAAAATTTTGTTATCTTGCTGTTGATTTGTATACGGCATAAGTGGGAAGAAAATAATGCTTTGCGTACTTCTTGTAAATATTTCATTTTAACAGAAAAAGGTTATATCCTTTCATATATATACAAAAAAAGCGTACTATATTCATTACTTGAAAAACAAAATAGGACTAAAAATTTTTTATAGATATTTCGTTTTATCAAAAAACAAATTTATACTTTTACCAAAAAATCGTTATATATATTTTACTTCAAATTTAAAAAATAAACAAGTTTAGTTTTACTTACCGCTTGATTCACGGACGTCTTCAAGATCCTGAGAAAACTGACCGCCTCTGCGCTTTTCGGAAATGGCAAATTAAAAGAAAATCACATCATTCTTCTATCTATCCGTTAACAGTAATTACGAGTGTCAGCTACTTTCAGCAGCTGCAGCTGCATTCAGTGATGATGGGGATGCTGACCGATAACCATTTGCACAACCTCTTCTTGGACCAATCTTGGCAATGCCATCTCAGGACCATCTTTCTGACGAAGCGATGCGGCTTGCAGGACATGCCGCTCGGGAAGGAACATGAACCGAGAGTCAGACAAGACCCTTCTTTGATCCATCTGGGCCAGAACCTCAGACCGAGATCCTTCCACCTGTAAGCTACGGGGCAGTAGGTGTAGGCCCAAAGGAGTTGCTTGAACTTGCGCCTCATTTTTTTGCCAACCTTCATCCGGAAGCGACTACCATCCGGCAGTTTTAGCGCGTGAAGCCTGAGGTGGCGAATTTCTTTTGGCATCTTGGATGTAGGCACCACTTTCCCTTTTCTAGTGCGCTTGAAGCTCAACTCAACAGTTCCATTGGGATGTAAGATGCTGGCCATCGGCCTGGTCTCGCTCAGAAACTGTTTGTCGAAGTCCCTCCCCATTAGATCTCTCAACTTCCGAGGGTTGAGATCTTCGGGCTTGGGGTCGTACCTCTTGTCTTTCGGCTCAATCAGGTCCAAAACGGGCAAGTCCTGCGAAGGGGATGGCCTCATCCAGTTGCGTGATCCAGACGCAAAACGGCCATTCCACAGAATTAGTGTCGCCAAAAACTGAAGCACCAACAATGAGATTCTCAGCGCACTGCATTGCACGACAAGAAACATGAACATCTTCTCAACCCGTGACGCTTCCTTCACAACGAGTAGTTTCTGACAAGACACACAAAATTTATCGGTTAGAATAAAGGTGCTAAGAAACAATCACCAATGGTTGGGAAATTTGCAGATTTGCTACCTCTCTGAATAAAAACACAATATTTAACAATGTTTTTGTCTTAAATGGCAATGTATTTAATAACTTGAATTACCGGGTGGCTAAAAGTTATACGATAATTTTTCAAACGTATGTGCTATCAAACGACGACTTTTCATAACAGACACGCGACAAGAGCGTTTTCTTACGATGTTTCTTGGTTCATAATTCGCATAAATTAATTAATACACATATTCAGTCACAGAAGATGAAGACAAGGAAATCATGAATTCCACGCATTTTGCAGCACTTTTTTAAAATAACCAATTATTAATCCCATTTTTGCAGCCGCATGTTTTAGGATGTCAGGAGTTCTATGAAATCACTTTTAGCTCTCAAATTCACCGCGTAGATAATTTTGCTAAGATCACGCAACAGATCATAGTAATCCATACCTGTACATTTGTAAGACAGTCACTTAAGAGACATTCAAAATTTTTTACTCCTTAATTTCGCCCGAGATGTTACTTCCCGATTCGTGAATGTAAAAACGTATCCAATAGTTAATTTACTGCTGTATTTTTTCCAGTATTCATTAAAAGGTAAATATGATTTCAATCACAATAAACTTTTCATTCTTTCAAGACGCAAGGAACTGGAGCAATATTATATTTTAAGAGCACAACTTCTAATAAAATTATGCAGTGTATAAAATATCAACATTCTATGTAGTATTTTTTCCCTCCGCAAAACGACTAAGTTTGACGTAATACAGTATCCATCGCATACATCTTCTTAAGAAGTACTTCGAAATGGTGACAGCAATTAGAGTAGTTTTAAAGGCAAAATACTACACCTCTCAAATTAAATAAACGAGAAAACGACTTTCAAATGCATACTTCCAACGTTTTATTCTGTTTTGCTGTATATATCATCACTATAAAGAAAAGAGAAACTCCACAGTATATACTAAAATTCCATTTATGCTGCAGACGACAGAAATTAGAGAACACTCCAAAGCTATCTAAATCTCGGTTGTTCATTCAAATCCAATTTCATTCATGAGCGATTACTCTACAATGCTGCGAGATGAATGAATTCAGAGAGAGAGAAATGCGCTCACCGTACACAACCTCTCGCGAGGAAGGTTCGAATGCGAACTACTCCGCTGCGAGGTGAGTTTTTCGTCTTACTAGCGTGCGTGCGTTTTTGTGGAGAGAGGGGAGGGAGGTCAGCGAGAAAGAGCAGGAGGGGTGAAGAAAGTGAAGAGATCGTCCGCGATGGCGATTGTTATGAAACCTCTCTCCTTTTTTATCTTTCTTTTTTCGCTTTCCTGAGCAGAGTTTTGGATTCATTGAATTTTGCAACAGAAAATTTGTGAAAAGAATGCATACTTTTCAAAAATTTTTGGATTGTTACTTTCTTCTACCATGTATTTATCATTCGCAAGTACTCAAAACTAATTTATCTGCAATGGAATTTCTCGAAGATACATTTTCGAGAAACGTAAAATCTTCGATTCGTCTTCCAGACTTATTCAGACTCTAACTGCTTAATAAATTGAGGGAGTGAAAAGCAATAAAAGTTTTTAATAATTTTAAATGTTTTATTTCAGTTTTTAATAACTGAAAAAAAATTTGCGGCATTATATCTATTATTAAATAATGAAAGAATCTCTGTGCGTGTATTCATGTATGTATGTGTGTGTGTAGGTGTATATATTGCATTGTGGGCATTCTTCGCATTCTGAGCTTCAGGTTTTGAATCCGCAAAGCCCTTCCCCCGAACATTTACTAGTGGTAAATACACCGAACATTTACTACTAGTCTCAACTGGCAACTACCGGAGCAGTTTCATGCGGCCCTCGAAGACATTTCAATTACGTATTTGCTGTAAATACAGCGTTGCAAACATTTCAAGATTTTAGTTATTTGAAGTCCGAGTATACATTTCCAGTAAAATGAACAGGAATAATGCATTCAGAAAATCTGCGGATGGAAATAGTTACTTCACAGTGTGATATGTATTTAACCAAAAATTTTAAGGTGCAGATTTCATTAAGTTTTATTCGTACTGCTCAAATAAATAAGCTTGAATTTTTGCACTAAAATAATTCCTTCGGGAATACAGTTATACGTTTGCGTGTGTGTGGGTTTTTTTCTTCCCCCTGTAAGGTTAAAAACTGATAACAAAAGAAATCGACAGACCGTTGACCATCTACAGTCGGTGATGAAGACAATTTACAATAATTTGTCTGCGAAGATGCAAATTTTGTAGAGACCTTAGGATACTTTCGAAGCAGAAGACATGAAAAATTAGCAATTCCTTGGCCGTAACTCGAACCACGGAACTCTCGAATACGCGCTAAGTGTGCTGACCACTACATAACCAGGGCATGCGAAGAAGGCGGGAGAAATACCTTATAACTTTATTATCTCCAGTGTGAAGCTATAGTAATTGGACTCAAGTCGAAAACTAGAAGATATAACGAAGTTGGCGAGCTTGCCTAGGTGCTGCTTTGTCAAGTTTTTGACGAAAGGCGAATATTAAGGGTTTGTAGTCTGTATAAATTGTTCCTTCTGGTCTGTATAAATTGTAAGTAGTGTTCCTTCTGGATAACGCTTGAAATGTCTAACTGAAAGATGAATGCTTAACATTCTCTATCACAGGTGCTATATTTTTGCTGAGTATCGTTTAATTTTTTTAGAAAAAAAATGCTATTGGTTTCCAAGATGAGTTTTCGTATTGTTGCAACACTGATCAGCATTTGAAATTGTTGGCAATCGCGGCATCTGAAGGATATGTAAATAACGACAGATTTAGTTCAGAATTGGGAAAAGACAACAGTTTAGTGTTCACCAGGTCATTATTGCACTTTTCAAACTGTTTTTCAGCTTCTTCAGTCCATTGAATTTTACGTTTGTCCCTCAGCTCCTTTGAGATACTCATGCAACAGTGCTTGATTCTTCGCCGCACCTTTTAGATAACGACGATAAAAGTTAAGCATTTCAAGGACAGTTTTAAGTTCATGAATTGTTTCTGGACGTTTGTACTGATAATAGCTTGAACTCTTTCTGGTAAAGGACGGGAACCCTGAGATGTAAATTAGGTATCATAAAAACTCAATTTGTTGAACAACAAGCACAGATTTTTAAATATTTATTCTTAAACGAAAGGTATTTAATCTTTCGAAAACTACTTTAAGATGATTTCCGTGAGTACTGGATGCAATAAGTATACCGTCAAAATAGGGAAAACCGAATTCTAATCCTCTAAAGACTTCGCGAATAAATCGTTGGAACATTGCAGGAGCATTTTTAAACCGAAACTCATTACATTAAAGTCGTACAAACTGAAAGAAGTGATGATAGCCGTTTTACATTTGTCATCTTCTGCAATGAGAGTTTGAGAATATGCTTTGAATAAATCAGTTTTATAAAAAATATATATATACCTTTTAAAATATGATGAAATTTTTCAGTTCGAGGAATTGGGTATCGGTCAGGTATCGTCTGCACATTCAATCGACGGTAGTCCTTACAAGGCCGATATGAACCGTTCTTTTTCGTAACAAGGAGCAAGGGGCTTGACCACTGGAAATTTGATGGAAGAATAAAATTCCATTGTCGAGCATAAATTTAAATTTCTCGTTAGCTATTGCTAAGCGTTTTGGATCGAGCAGTCGTGCGTTCGAATACACGGGTTGACCATCAGTCATAATAAAACGTGTAGCATCATGTTTAATTTGTGTAGGAAAAAGGTTAGGTTTGGAAATTTCGGGATATTTCCACAGTAAATCGATAATTTTTATGGATTTATTTAATGTGTTTACGTAGTTAGTACTTGAAACAGCAGCGACATCACACTGGACACTAAGTTGTGTTACGCTATCAATTAAATTTTTCTTATTTATATCGCTAAGCAAGATGGAAACTGAAAATCCCGACGTAATCCCAAATTAAGAGTTAGCGTTTTTATGTCATAGGTGGAGATTTCTGTGCCATTAGTTACATACAGTTTGTATTTAGTTTTACATTTATTCTGAGAAGCAGTTGGAACTATGCTTACGTCAATTCCGCTATACACAAGAGAGTGCAACTTCGGTCACGAACGAATAAACGAAATTTAAGACAATACTTCATATTTTCTGCAGGAAAGTCTGTCGCTGAAGCTACTGCAGATCCGAGTTTTCCTTGTTTTTAGAATTGTTGTTTACCGAAGCACACGGAGGCCGGCATTTTGCTCCAAATCGAAAGTGATAGAAACAAAATTTGCCGTTTGTATCATATCGTTTACGAGATCGGCTTCGAGATCGTGAACGCGAATTACGTGTACCCGAGCCCCTGTATTTTGATTGAATGGCTATTTGATCGATTTTTTGTTCAAGAAGGATAATTGTTGCAACAAATCATTTAGGAGAAAGGAAGTGAAATTCGCACTAAATATTTCTGGTTGCCGATTGATATAACTAATTTTATGTGCTATAGACAACTAACCTGCCTACCTCTTCATCACTAACTAATACTATATTTTTTTGAGTGAGGTTGCTTCTCAAAACATAATGTTTTGATTAAATTTTTCAGGCACATCTCTAATAGCAACTGATCTCAGTTTCTGCAGAAGTTAGCTTGGTTTTATGTCTCCAAGCTCTATGCCAGTAACCAAACGTTTCATCCTTACATTTTCACTTTCCTTAAATAAATGTAATAACCTAGTTTTAGAAGCCGAATATTTTGTGGCACTTTCGTTCGTTAAAATGCTCCAAATATTTTTGAAGAACTTAGGTTCAAGCTGTGAAGCTAAGTATTTCGTTTCTTCTGAAACGACATTACTGATTTTGAAATGTGCTTCAACTTGAAAAAACATTTCCGGCTTATCATTTGGGAAAAAAAAAAAAAAGTATTTTTACACTCACCTTATGACGTTACGGCGACTGCATCGATTGTTTCGTAGCAATTTCCAAAGAGTCCTTTCAAAAATAAAACAGGGTCACCAAGATAGACTTGACTACTGATATTCGAACTTATTATAATTAGTAACAGCAACTTATTATAATTAATAACAACAAGTTATTATAATTAGTAACAACTGTTTTTATTTTTCAACTATCAAAATGAGCTACTACTTGAATAACAATCACCAGAGAATCAACATTCGAAAACCGAAGTAATCACTACTCGCCATTCAGCGTAAAAGAAATACAAATATGAATAATTTACAAAATGTTAAAGTTAACTTTTAATGCAAAAATATAAAATACTTGAAATAAAAAATAATTATTATTCATGCCACTGGGCTACTGAAAAACTACAAAATTCTCCCCAAAGGAAGAATTTCCTCTGGTTGAGTACCCCTGCTCGAAACGATATGCCAAAGTATGCGTATTAGAAACATGATCTTTTCAAAATACAACCCTGGCATTTTTCAAAACTTTTCCAGCATAAGCTATAAAAAACGTGCTTATTATAGAGCGTTACGTTTAGAAATGTTATCTAGCTTTCAGAAAATAAATTATTCGTCTCCAATAAGTATTTTAGTCAATCATTTTTATTTTGCTACGGTAGTGGTTATAGGAAACATATTTATTAAACACATTTATTAAAAATAGTCTTATTTTAAAAAGTATTTAAAAAAATCTGAAAGGTTTCAGACTCTAACGGTCGCCCAAAAGGGTTTGTTAAGTTTTTTACGCTCTCGCTGAGCTCGCAGTGTACCACTCTGCTGTTACACTCACTCCTACTAACGTCGTTTAGCGTTATTATCAAGCATCAAATTCTTCCCACTTAAAGCCATATGCAATTCAACAGCAAAATTAAGAAAGTTTTGCCATATAGTTTTCTTTTTTTTTCTTTTCAGCCTTTTCTCAGTTCGTCATATCAATGCTCAGTTTTCTTACTAAGATGGCTTTACAAAAAATTTTTTGTCTCTTTTATTATTAACGTTTTGTGTGTTTACTTTATTTATTAAATACCTCGTCCTTGGCGGTTATGCCACATAAAATTTCATTCAGCAGCAAAATCACAAAATGTTTAAAAGTAGTATATCTTTAGAATTACCGATAGACAGTCTTGCGGGCTGGAGATAAAAAAGTATTTTTTTTTTTTTCCTGTACAGTGATGTCACTGTACGGTACCGTTGAAGTG